CGGCACCATATATGGTGCCACCCGAGCCTGGCACCCCCAGCCATGGTCAGGCAAGGGTGCGGGCAGCATTTCCTGTCCCCATGTCAGACCTAGCCCCCGCCCACCCCGCGGTGGACTCAGATCCTTCTAGCACGAGGGTCCCAAGCAGCCAGGCCTTGCCTGAGGCTTCCCGGCTGTCCATCCACTTGTGTGTCCCACCTAGCAGTGTGGCCCACATTAGGTTAAAAATGCTCAGGACCAAACCAGCCTCCCTCCCTGCAGCAACAAGAGGGGAAGTGGGCACAGTCTTGGTGTACCACTCGGCTCTGTCACGAGGACCTGTGGGGTCCCAGCGGTTCTCTGGGCTCTGGCGCCGCTCTTCTCACGGCTCCCCGTTCACTCGCCCCCTGGTCCACCCTGTCCACCGACCCGCTCTCCATGGAACCCGGGCCTCGGCGTGCTCCGTGGGTGCTGCGCCCCGAGCTGCGCCCCAGCCTCCCCGCTCAGCCCTTGTGGGGTCTACCCCGAGAGCTGGGCACAGTCCTGGACCCTACACACCTGCCCCCGTGGAGCCCGTTCCAAGCACAGGGGCCAAACAAGGAAGAGAGGGGCCGTGAGTCAGGGTCAGAGCCCAGAGGGCCGGCTGCAGCAGGGCTCTCAGTGGCGGCCTTGGGATTCTAGGGTGGGTCTCGGTGAGGAGATGAGTTGGGGGTGAAGGTCTGAGAAGAGCCGTGTGAGCACTTGTGGAGAGAGCCATCTGAGCAGGGAAGTGGCAGGTGCCAGGGCCCCATGGTGGTGGCTGCGGGAGGCCTGAGTCAGAGCTGGAGGCCCCGTGTGGCTAGAGCAGAGGTGGGACTTGAGGTCAGGGGTGTGGAGCACGCGCAGGGCCTGGTGGTGGGCCTCCAGCAGTGGGGCCTGACTCTGGCTTCTTTGCTTTTTTTTGGTACTGGGGATTGAACTCGGGGTCACTCGACCTCTGAGCCACATCCCAGCCCTATTGTGTTACTTTTTTTTGTTTTTTAATTTTTTTTAGTTGTAGTTGGACAAAATACTTTATTTATTTTTCTATGGTGCCGAGGATTGAACCCAGTGCCTCACACGTGCCAGGTGGGCGCTCTACCACTGAGCCACATCCCCGGCCCCATTTTGTGTTTTATTTAGAGACAGGGTCTCACTGAGTTGCTTAGCGCCTCACCATTGCTGAAGCTGGCTTTGAACTCATGATCCTCCTGCCTCAGCCTCCCGAGCCGCTGGGATGACAGGCGTGTGCCACAGTGCCGGGCTGACTCTGGCTGCCTTGCCCAGGCTGATCTTGAACTCTTGAGCTCAAGTGATCCTCTGCCCTTGGCCCCTGCGCCCAGCTCTGACTTCTAAAGCATCTCTCTGGCTGCCAGGTGTGAGCCAGTCAATGAGAGCGCGAGATGATGAGCCAGTGAACTGACTTCCTTTGTGCATACTGTGTGCTGGCGCCCTGCTGGGCACCGGGGAGAGAGGGTCCCCCACACTCCACTCCTGTGCCGTGGGTCTTGTGGAGCTGCAGACCCGCCTCTGCCTCCTCCATCCAACACACTCTGCCTTCTCACCCTGGTGCTCCGTCATTGATCCTGTTGTCCCATCTGTTTCTAAATGTCCCCCACCAGGCCCAGAGCTCCTGCAGGGGAGCCTCTGTCTAATTCCTTCCTGCTCCCAGGCGCAGCACAGGGCCTGACCCTGCAAGCGTTCCCTGCGGGGCTGAGCAAGGGAACAGACAGCCTGCAGCCCTCCTCATTCTGTCTCTTGCCATCTTTTGCAGATGAACGTGCAGGCGTCAAGAGTGTGTGGAAA